TGTCTATTAATTTCTTTGTTGATGCGCGGTGCTGCACAATAAGGCTGACAGCGAATTGGCATGGAATCACCTGTTTCTATTCGGTGTGTAAACATATTCGTACTACCAAATTCTTGTAGGTTAACAGCAAAAACATCACTATGCTGATTCAAAAATAAATGAAGTTCCTGTTTTTGGATTTCTGTCAAGTCTGAAGAGTTTAAGTCAAAATTAACTGGTTCTTGTACCTTACTAGATTGTGTATTCATGATGTCAAGTGTGACATTTCTGTCAAGAGTGTCCTCATTAATGGTAAATATTGTTTGTGGGTGTAGTACGTCCACAGATGCTAATACGGTATTAGCAGGAACATGCATTGGTACTGAAGTAGGGTTAATGATTTGCAATTGGTTCTTGTTGGAAACAGAATTATTCTAGCTGGGAGAATAGTAGAGGTTGACATAATATAAAACGGTTCAAGTAAAACAGATGTAACTTTAGGAATTTTGCTGATACGCACTGCAATCGTACTAATCGTATTTGGTTGGATAATGGTCACTTTTGTGGTGCGAGCTAAACCAGACTTATTATGAATTAAGTTGATGGTTACCGTATCGTCTAGCAAAGAGAGCGTTTGTGTGTCTAAATTCACAACAGCTTTGTATTTAGTCAAATTATCGATACCTAATATTATTGATTTATGTAATGCAGGTACAACATAGAATGGGTGTAAGAAGTATAAGCCTCCTATTTTCAATTTTAGTTGAACCAGACCAGTTATATTGTGATTTTCTCCTCCTGTCCCTACAATATGAGAAATATTTGATGGTTTGTAGTGACTTGAATTCAATCCTAGAAGGTAGAGAAATCCTTCATTAATTGCTGATATGTGTGCTCCTGAATCAACAAGTGCATGCGTTGCCTTGTTTCTGACGTAGATAGGAATGAGATTTTTATGAATGGGTGCCACTAAGTTAACCTGAGGCTGTCTAGTTCGCTTGTAACAAGACTGTGTCCCACGAATTCATTTTGTTGTAATGAGAGGCATACTCGTGAAAATGACCTGTTTTGTAACAAAAATAACACTGTTTATTGCGTGCGCGACAAACTCTACGTCATGTACATAGACGTCCACATCCAAGACAAAATGTCTGGGAACGACTATGTGGTTGTGAATGGTAGTACGCAACATGAGGTAATTCATGTGTGTAGTTTGATTGAGCTTTGTCTACTGAATTGGAGAAATATTTGGGTGGCTGATAAGAAAAATTATGATGTTAATAGTTAGGTCTGTGAGAGCGAAATGGTTGCTTTTTCCCATGTACAAAAGATTGAGAGAATGAATTGTTTTCCATATTCTGTTCTAAGCTGACTACTTTAATTTCATCTTTAATTTGTTTAAGTTCCTCTAAAAGTGCATAAAGTGTTGACCAATTATTGTTATCAGTAGTCGGAATTGACCTTTCTGTTAAAATTGCTGCTTTTCGTAAATCATCCATGTGTGTTGGATTTTTGTTCATTACAATAGTTTTAATGGCTGGTTTTAAACCTTGCAATGCAACTGCTAACAATATTTGATTTGGGATAGTTTTGTTATTTGCAATTTGTAAAAGGCGACGTAGATAGTCCAAAACTGTTTCAGAAGATTCTTGTCTAGTTTGTAAAACTGATAAATCTAAATTGATTTAAATACTGTTACCAGATTGGACCCAGCTATTTGTAATAGTATCAGATAGTGATTCATACCATACTTTAGCATGCTCTTGAAGATAAAATGGAAAAGCATTCAAAACTTTAGCTTCTGATAGATCATAAAAGTTAGCCATTTATACAAAATGATCTAGCCATTTACCATGATTCTGATATTGATCACCTTTAAAAACATCTAATGTGATAACAAACATACATGTATATGAGAATCCGATGTTTTCCAGAGAAAAATTGCACTCCAAGAAAAAAAGGTAGTATTATGAGTCACGTTAGCTCAATGAAACGGGTAAATGCATAATGTTCTAGGCACTGACAGTAATTAGTTTGCTATTTAAGAGTACATATATGATTCTTTCTTTTCGTACTGGCGGAGATCACCGAGACAGCTGTAGCTGCTGGCTTGGTACTTTTAATTGGTAGTCGTCTGCTTAAGATGCATACTTGAGTTGTCAGTCGTAGTCTGCGTAGGATCAAATGAACAATAATCGAATGAAGTATGAGTCACTGAAACTGGAAAGGGCGTTGATAATGACGTATACATAGTTACTGGCGATCTGTAGATAGCTGCCGGACAAGAGCAACAGGAGCGGAGATGTTGTAATGAATAAACAGTCATGTGAATAGGGTCGTGCTGTAGTGTTCTGAGGCAAGGCGACGGCATAATTGGGCGAAATCAGCTGGTCGTAAAGGTTCTGGTGCGAGTCTCCCTTATGCGTTTTGACACCTTTATTCATGATATTGCTCCACCACCTATTATGTAAGAAATCTTCTTGTTGTTTAGTTGTTGTTTTCTAACAAAACCTTTTTCTCATTTCTTGTCATGAGAAGGAATTTTATCGCTATTTCAAGAGATGCCTTGAATCTTGATCAGAGAGGAAGAGAGAAGAAAGTTCGGACCTTCTTAAGATAAGGTGTCACTTATAATGGTGTAGATACGACTACATCTTTTTGAGGGAAAAGCTCTGGCAACGAGAGGTAGCAGATATCGCTGTAAAATACAAACAGACTCTCTCTTGATCTGGACCTGAAAAGCTTTATTGATATGTAAACTACATTCTAAAAATATAACTTATAAAAAAACTTTATATTGAAGAATATATACAATACATATTACAAGATATATTAAATATGATCTACCACTTCATATGCTTGTATAGTTTTCTGCATTTTAGAATACCATAAAAGCGATTAAATATTGATTGTATTCAGAGAGCCTTAAATTCAATAGTTGCGATTGATGCCATATACATTTTAAAGAGATGTATTTTATTTCATTTAATTTAGAATAACGACTTAAAATGATCATTGATCATTATACTTTATTATCTAAAGAATATTTTTATTGGCAACTAAATTTTTTAGCATGAAGCTAGTAGTAAATTCATATAAATACAAATGATCATCAAATCTTAAAAACAATAAAATATTCCACTACATTATAATAGTATATTAAAAACAGAACTCAAAATAATATTGCAACTACTAGTTACTACACAAATCTTTAACTTTAAGGGTGAGTAACAAAACAGAAAATTCTTACCTGTAAAATACAAACAGACTCTCTCTTGATCTGGACCTGACAAGTTAAAGATTCACAAGGGCCCGGTCTTATATATCCCGAGATTTCGTGTACCATTTGCTAATCACGTGTGTCTTTGTCCAAAACCAAAGAGGTCTATTTAAAAAAAGGGTTGTCTCTTAAGGGAATGACCTTTTAAGTTCCACGCTGCTTACGACCTTGAAATTTTGTTGCAAGTGAGGCCATTCATACCATGAACTTTTTAAACCAGACAGTTATGAATTTGCTGAATAAATTTGTGACAGTTTGTAAAGAACGCGAGCCCCACAGGCAAATCCTTTATTGTTCCATTCGCGCTATGAACTTTTGAACTGGGGCATCTTATGATCCTATCTACCAAACCTGTCACTGCAGGCAATCTAATGAAAATATACAAGAATGTGATGTACAGGTTAATTCAATACATCTAAGCAGATTCTTTTCTCTTAATAAATAGTAGTTTTAATATAGTCTAACACAACTTAGATGTTATTATTTCTTTTCAAAATTGATAACTTAATAACTGCAGTAATTGATTATATCTCATTTTTGCACTGTCAGTCAAATGAGAAAGAACACATTTAGATTCCGAGTTTTGTTTAACCTATTCAACCTGTTTAACCTGTAACTAACACAATAATAAATGTATCCATTCAGAACTTTTAGACTGCTTTTCAATTCTTATCGTATCTTTTTTTAAAACTAAATAAGGGTGATTACTATGTCATATAGAAACAAAAGAAAGGCTGGACCAATATTTTATTACTATAAATAATGGTCATTAATTTAGTCATTTCAAAATCAAGTTTAAAGAGAAAAATAAGAACATGTTTATCAATTAGTCTCATTGCAATTTAATGGCAGAGTAGCATGCAGAATCTGGTACTATCCGTATAAGGAATAACCAGCCTCTGAAAACAAGCTCTTCAATACAAGCATAATGATTTTACAATCTGATTCAAAATCAGGTCTCCACTGTCCTATGGGAAGATCTAACAGCAAGTGCTTAGGGTCATGTTCAGGTGACTTTTGAGTTAACCAATGGAAATGCAGCTATCAGAAATTTAAAAGTGAATCAGATCGTTCGGCACGCACTGGTGGCCCAAATGAGAAGATAAAATACTTGGCTGATAAAATTCACAATTATGATAATAACATAGGTCGCATGAACATGATCCCTAAGCGGTCGCTATCAGGTCTTCACGTAGGACAGTCTTTCCCAGTTTGGTAAATGTATGCCCAACTGGAAATGTACGTCTAATTTTCATAGTTGAAATGCTCCAATTCCACTTCCACATTTATAGAAACATAGAGTGGATTTACAGTGTAATGGTTGATGGATTTAGAGTGGAGCTAATTTACATCGTGTTGGAGGACTGCTTTCTGGTGGCTGGAGTGGATGGTAGATACAGCACGTTTTGAGCTGGTTTTCATTTAAAACGTTCTGAATAGTAGTGTGCTGTACAACAAAAAAATTCTTTATTGGTAAACAGTGCGTTATGCATCCCAACCGTTCCGGTGGTCCAGTAGTCCAAGTTTCTTCTGACCATTGATACTTGATATTTGATTTTTTTATGTTGGGTCAGAGGAAACTGTGATGTCTAGCAATGGGGCATCATGCCACAGACATGTGGCATGATGTCCCACCCAGTCACATTATCCTGACACTAGGCCGATCAGTCCTAACACTAACCTTTTAATGCTGAGCGCCAAGCGATACAGCTGTTATTACCATTTTTTAAAAGTCTTTAGT